ACTCTTCTTGAAATCACACCGAAAGAAGAGGGACCAAAATGCTAATTTCATAATTGTTTAAAGAGAAAATTACGTTAAAATTCATTATAATTTACGTTATTACGGATCTACCAAATACTTTCTGTTATTACACTTGTGTCCGTTTTTTAGCTTCCATAACTCTTTTTTTTTTAAAAAGACAACTTTGCCCTTTTTCGGATGTTCAATATTAAAATATGTATGTTTTTCGGATGTTGAACATCCGAAAATGAGCGCAAGTTAACGCATGCAATTTGTTATTTTCGGATGTTCAACATCCGAGTTTTTGGTATTTTCGGATATTGAACATCAGAAAATAGCGATCTTTCATTCAAACCCTCGTGATGGTCTCGGCTCCCTCTCAAAACCTCCCTACTGTCTCTCACCCCTCTCCCTTGACTCGGCTCATCCCTCTTCCCTATTATCGTGTTCTCTCTCAAACGATAATCAGTTTCTAAGTATCATTATATTAACCTTCTTCACCTTATTCAACACGGTAAGGTTTTGTTTCTTTTACTTTTTTTGTGGTTTTCGATTTATTTTTTTGTTGGTTTTTCCTTCTAATTTGATATTGGAAATAAATGTTGTACTTTGCATCTAATGGAAAAAAAAAATTATCCTAACATGTAATGGCAAAAACAAAATTTCTTTTAACTGATAAGTGGGTTTGCTTACTTGGTCTATAAATGCACAACAACATTCCATTCTCCGAACAGAAAAAAAAAAAAAAAAAAGAGAAAGAAAGAAGGCTATAGGTCTTCTTTGTTGTATTTTTGTGATATTGTATTTTTACTATTGGTTTTTTATTTTTTTTAGGTGTTCTTTTAGTTTTTTTGTTGGGTATATGATGCATCCCAAAAAATACATCAATATAGAAGTTACATTTGCTATGTAGAAGGGGTATGGGTTTTTTTTTTTGTTATATTTTCTAGGTTGTTATTGTATTTTTTGAATTTTTTCTTTTAATTTGTCTGCTTCGTTTTTATGTTTTGTTTGCTATAGAAGCTCCATTTTATTATATGTAAAAAACTTGGGGATGGTTTTTTTGTTTTATTTTTTCTTGTTTTTTTCCTAGTAATCCATTGAATACCCACGTTGTATTTTCTTTATTTTTTGGATTGGTCAATGAATAATGATCAAGTGGAGCTGGCCCTGGAATCTTTAGAAAACTCTTTTTTTTGTGTTTTATGGAAGCTCATAGCTATTTCAAAGAGTGGCATGATATTGGGTGTGAATTTCTTAATTGGTTATTCATTTTTTTTATATAATATTGGTCTTTTTTAGTTGCATGTGATCAATTTATCAATTAAACCAATTTTATGAAATGTATGGTTGCTCAAATAGTGAAAAATTGTGTTGGTGAAATTCGTCTTTTTTCGAATGCTTATTGCTCTTCTATAGCTCTAGTATATGATTTTTTTTAGTCATGTCCTTAAATTTTTCTTTTGAATATATGCAATTGAATGGTTAAAAATGGTTAACCTAATATATGCAATTTGTAGGGTTAGAAATAGGCATTACTCCATATCCTGAGATATAGTTTACCAATGGGTGGTTGTTTTTGGGTGGTTGGATATAATGAATTTTGGACAGAGCAAATCTTTAATTATATAGTCTGCTAGGCCAACTAGAGACTTTCCCAAGTTGTCCTGGACCAACTAGAGATTTTAATTCAATTCCAAGAAACAATCAATTTTTTCGTTTAATAATAGCATGTCATAATTGTTTGTTCATTTGTTATCCAGTAAATATCTGTATATGTAACCTTATGATTAACATGGTGACCATATAGGATTTCAGTGAATATAAATCGTTTACATCCCGATGGAAGATACCCAGGAGGTCCTCAGGAGCCTAGTTTGCTGCAACTTCATCCTAAACATGCATCATATTTTATATGGGAAGGACATGTATATACATTTATTCATCTGCGCTTTATATTAATTTGTTATTTTACAATAAATTGTACTCAGGTTCAAACATTTTATGAGAAGTACATGTATATGTATTGGGACTAATATGTTGTCTATTTGTTGTATTTCAGGAGAAATAAGAAATCAGAATTGATGAGAAGAGTTATCAATTAAATAAATAGAACTTAACAGAAGAGCAAGTTCAATTAGTAAATACGTTTGGGTTGGGTCCCTTGTCTATCATTCGGCCAGACCAAATTAATCATCTTTTGGTCTCAACTAATGTAGAGAGGTGGCGTTCTGAGACCAACACATTTCATTTCAACATTCATATTGGTGAGATGACACCAACGCTATTTGATGTATATGAGATATTAGGACTGGCTGTGGATAACGACCTAGTTACATGTCGTCTTATCAGTGACCTACGACAATATATAGAAGACAATTTGGGTATAGTCCCTGATGACAACCTGACAAACTTGAGGCATACATGGTTGAAGGTGAATTTTAGGGAATTGCCACCTGATGCACCTCCTGTTCAAGTTTATAGATATACTCGAGCACATCTGCTCTTCCTCATTAGTGTCACCATATTCGTTGATGCATCAGTTTTAACAGTGCCAACAAGGTACTTGCAGTTTTTTGAAGATATTGAAAGAGCCATCACATATGTTTGGGTTGCTGCAGCCCTTGCATTCCTCTATCGCTCATTTGGGAAAGCTTGCACTTTCAAGCGAAGACATTTTAGTGGTTCAGCCACTCTCATGCAGGTAACCTTTTTTTTTTTTTGTATATGACATAAGCGTAATAGTTTAAACTGCTTTCTTAACATAATTAATAGTTATCATATATTAATTTATTGCAGTGCTGATCGTATGAGCATATTATGCATATGAGGCCTATACCGCATAGTATCTCACCAAATATACCTGGGGCCAAAAGATAGGAGCCACTGAAGAAATATCATGGAAATCCATATAACTTAATACCTCCCATTGGACAAGAATTTGATAACCTCCAAACTAATAAGGTTAGTATATAATTTGATATTGATTACTTTCGAATATATTTAAGTATTTGTAATTATTTTTATTGACTGATTGCATATCATATAACATGTAATCTGGAATCCTTATTTCAAGCCTGATGAGGTCATTTCAGATGATAGGCACCAGGCATATCAAATTGCAATGTGCATTACAATACTGATAGTTGATGATATTGTCGAGCCGTACATGCTAGATCGAGTACGTTGGCAATTTGGAGCTAAACAAAGCATTCCTAAAAATCCCTTGGTTATTCGTAAAAGGGCTAGCAGACAAGGTGGACAACGAGATTGGTGAACTGTGAATGCAGACAAAATCGCTCATTGGTTGTCTCGCCATGACCGCATGATACCTGAAATTGTAGAAGATACTGACAATGGGTCACCCTCAGAGGAGTACAAGGCTTAGTACAACCTAGTGTCTCATCCTCTAATATATAATGTCTCTAACCTACCCAAAGACATATTGCAACCTCATATCCAGGAAGAAGATGTGGTTCTTACCCATGAACCACAATATATAATGAGACCTTGAGGTTATGAGGACCAGTTGGTACATTTATATTGACCTACAAATTCTTATAGTATTTTATTTACCTATTAGTTCTATGAAATTGTTTAAATATATTAATTATGTAATCTTATTTGTGCAGGTTACTGCAGTTCAGACATCTAAAGTCATGTTAGCAGAGGCACTTACACTTAGACATAAGTGGTATCCTGAAGTTTATAATCACATTAACAACACGTTTGAAACATTATCTAAGTTTGTGCCTGTGGATATGGGTGACGTATAAACTAGGATGGAAGTTTTGCAACGTCAATATAATGACGAAGTTGTACCTGAGTGGGTGAAATAATCGGGCTGTAGAAGACCTAGCTCCACCCACACAAACTACAGTTGAGGAGATATAACACACGAAATAAACAATATCAACCTAAGAGAAGGCGATCAATGTAATGGGGTCTTGACCCGTGAAATGTATTCGAACACTTGGTCATTTTGACCATTGAAATATATTCCCAATTTGTTGAATGAATTTTGCATTGATAATTTCTACTTTCGCTTAAGTCTCGCTTTCTACTTTCGTTTAAGTCTTTACAGATTAATGGAGTTTGTGGCTTGTTGCGTATTAAAATTGTTTAATAATTTGAGTTTTTGAAAATAATCACTGAGGGGTGAAGACTGGCATGTGGCACATGTGTATTAAATTTGTGTATTAAAATTGTTTATAATTTGAGTATCTTAATGTGCACATGTGGTATGAACATGACAGAAAAACTAAACTAGGAAAAGTTGAACATGTGATAGAAATCATGTGAACTAAACTGAACTGGAGAAAGTTGAACATGTGATAGGAAAACTAAACATGCGACATGTGACAGAAATCACTTTCAAATGTTGAACATCCGAAAATTAGCTATTTTCGGATGTTCAACATCCAAAAACATGTATCAAAATCCAGGAACTTCATGGATTTTAGTAGTCAAATTTTGGGATGTTCAACATCCGAAAATTTGATATTTTCGAAAAATATGAAATTTTCCAAAAATATGAAATTTTTGGATATGCAACATCTGAAAATAATTTCGGATGTTCAACATCCAAAAATTTGATATTTCCGAAATCAACATTCGAAAGCGTTTTTGGATGTTCAACATCCGAAAATATGACTGTCAAAATCCAGGAACTTCCTGGATTGTGACAATGATATTTTCAGATGTTTAACATCTGAAAATGACAAATTTTAGGATGTTCAACATCCGAAAATGACAAATTTTCAGATGTTCAACATCCGAAAATATGACTGTCAAAATCCAGGAACTTCCTGGATTGTGATAGTGATATTTTCGGATGTTCAACATCCAAAATTTTGACTGCTAAAATCCAAGAAGTTCCTGTATTTTGACAATCATATTTTTGGATGTCCAACATCCGAAAATTGTTTAGACATCAGATTGATCATTTGGACATCAAGATGCATGGACATGAGAAAAAAAAAAAAAGGACTTCAAGGTTTGGACATCAAGGATAATACATTTTTTAGGCCTTTAATTTTATTAGTGAAGATGAAAATTTATTTTAAGGCTATCACAAAGATTTCTAATATTGAAATCATCTTTCTCTTTCTCGATACAAAAAATTAACATTTTCAATGCCCAACATTCAATTGAACCTTGTTACTAACTCGTCTACATAGACTCTCTAGTGGTTCAATATCCTCCATATCACGCTCTGGTACAAGCTCAGGGTTGGGCGCCACTTCAATGTTTTGATTTTGCTCAGGTAAAACATTACGCCGACTGTTGACAAAAGATAGAGTGTAAGATGAAGCAACAATTTCTGCACATATAAGATTAAAATAAAATAATTTACAGATGAAAAAATAAATTGTAGATATACTTATTCCTTAGAGACGGGCCCTCAGCAACAGATTCTTGTTGTGGCTCGGCAATATATACTACACTTATTGAAGATTTCCCTCCCAACATAAAAGATACATTTATATCATCAGTAACATCAATCAAATTACGCCCACTAGATAGACTTGTGTTGTGGTACATAATAGCTAATTTGTTTGGATCAGACTTGGTTAAATTAGCAAAATGACTTTTTAGTTCTTCCAATGAACTATTCCCATTTATACTTGGTGACCGTCAATTTTCCTCGTAAATGAACACATCTGTCATTTGCATTCATCTCAAATGACCCCCCATATTGAAATACCAGTTGCACTCCCTTAGTAACCATCGTCAATACTACTGTATTAAATGAATAGCAATTTTGTGGTACAAAAAATCCATACAAAAAAATACTAAAAATTGGGATATTTCTAACTACTTTAGGGTTCATAAAATCTGAGTATTACATAATATATTGAGATAATGTACTACTAAAATTGTGAGTAATAAACATTAAACAAAAAAAAACAACAAATACTCACATAAACACAAAACAAACAACAAATTTTGATACAAACAAATAAGTTTAACAATTATTTAGCCAAAAAGAGGAATACAATGTATCAACATGATACAAACAACAAATAATTATATAAAACAAATAACTTCATCAATATTAAACAAATTCCTTTTATTAATAAAAAATACACAACAAATATTATGAACAAAATAAAATATTCTAAAAAATAACAGATAATAAACTTCAATTAATCAACCATAAAAAGAAAGAGTAAGAACGGTACCAATTACATCCAAATAGTGAGTCAATCTCTTCAACTTTGTGGGTTACTGTATTAAGGGACAGTAAAAGGGGTATGATGCTTTAATGATCGTTTTTCCTAACTTTATAAAAATAAAAATAAATAAGTTTATGCCTGAACGTGGGAAATGTTGGCACGAAAAATTTCGGATGTTAAACATCCGAAAATGAGAAAAATCATTGTTGGAGCTGTGGCTATTTTTGGATGTTGAACAACCGAAAATTGTAAAAATTCGGATGTTCAACATCCGAAAAAGGGCAAAGTGGTTTTTTTTTAAAAAAGATGTTATGGAAGATAAAAAACGGACAGATGAATAATAACGGAAACTATTTGATGTAACTATAATAACATAAATTATAATGGAGATGTATGTAATTTTCTCTTATTTAAATCATGCACTTTACTGATCATTTTAGAAAGGTAGTTTTAAATAATTTTAACTACCCAAAATACCCTTCTTTCGTTATCGATGAGTCCATTGGATCTTAGAGGCCTTTTTATATTTTCTTAAATGTAGCAATTAGCAGTTTAGCACAATACTAAAATGATTTGAAAACTTATAAATCAATAAATTATGCACATATAATAAGGAAGGTAGTTTCCCAAGGCAAATGGTTGTAAGGAGATCTAATGGTGAAAAGGTTGGTGGGGTCAATGATTTATAAGAATTCCAATATGCAATTTATTGTTGTATGAACAATTTGAAATGGCACATAAAGACGACTGTAATTTGTAGGGGGAAGATATGCCCTGTCTATTAGGGTTTTGATCCAAGAAACATTGTAATAAATTATTTAAAAAAATTAATGAAGGATGAAGTTTCTATAGGCCTAGGCTTTATGAAAACAAAATAAAACCTCACCTCAAATCCTCATCCGGAAAGAGCTTTGGGCATCGGGAATCTTCATGATAGCACTCTAAAATAAATTTCCAATATCGACAATAAAATTTTAAACTTCAAAAAATTGTACAGATCTTGTGGATCTTCATTATCCAAAACATAAAGATCTTGCGAATCTTTGAGCATTATTTTTATGCTGAAATGGATGGTCTAGATTATTTGTTGCAACATACTATTTTTAGAACTTGAAATCCTAAGTTTTTTTCTCAACCATAATATTTGAGCAGAGATGAGCGATTTAAAAGATTTTCAGTACTTGAGTTACAATTTTTGATGACTTATGAGATGAGGCTTTACTTATTTTGATAGGGCTGCACCCCTATCAAACCATAAACCATTTTCCTTAAATGAATAAGCATTGAAAACGGAGCAGCAAAGATGGTACCAACTGTAAATATATCGTTTAATATGAAACGCGTGCTTATTTACGAGCAGCGGCGCTTTGTTTTCAACTTCTAGACCATCTTTCTTGGTAGCAAAGTAATTAGCCATTGACAAATGCATGGGGCACTTCCCTCAAGAAGGCCAAAGCGAGGAAAGTCCCACTCATAAAAGGCCTTTACATATGGGATAGGTTTCTATATTTCTATGCTTCCCCTACTATCCAGCCCAGCCATTCAATTTTGATCGAAAGAGTCATTTATCGTTTAATCTTATATTCGACATCTCAAAGTAATTTTTTTTTAGTTTTTTTTTTATATAAATTGTATAAACATGAAATTTGGTACGTGCCATCTTCTCATTGGGTGCAGCTATAAAAAATATTAAAACAAAATTTTTGATAAAATATAATGACCAAAATACCCCTTGAAACTTTTAAAGGTATTTTGGTCATTTTATGTTATTGAAAATATTTGTTTTATATTTTTCACTAGTGAAAGTTTAATAGAGGATCAGGCGTCTAAAATTTGATATCAAAATAGCTTATAGAAAAAAATTAAAAATAAAATAGTGAAGAGAAATGACATTGTGATTGAGACAATCTTAGCTGTCCATTCAGAATGGACGGTTGGATAAAGAAAAATATATAAGTTTTATATTGGAGCGGAAGCATAGAAAGCTTGGTCCATACATATATGGTCTATTCGTTAGATTGCATTAAAAAAAGCCTCCAAAAGTTCATAGGATCCTATTGGACCTTCCATTTCCTTGGCTAAAACCGAAGGCAGGAGTACTCTTTAGAACTCCAAAATTTGGGAATTAGGCTCCTCAAGTTAGCCAGCAACCTCAAATAAATAAATAAATAAATAAATAAAGAAATAAAATAATAATAAAATCAAGTACATTGCAAAATGAATTTGGAAATACCACATGATCTATATTTTCTTAAATTTTATGTTAAAAGTTTCGTTTTTTTGTTGTTTTTCCATTTGAGTTGTAGTCCTTATTCGATGTTGCTAATATAAAATCACTTTTTTATTTTTTTTATTTTTGTGATCTCAGTACAACTCGAATTGCCCCATATTTAGGGTGATTCGACATTAGCAACGTAAAAATAGAACTGCCCTACATGTCAATGCAACCAAAGTTTTGGGTGGTTCTATATTACTGACATCAAACCACTCCATACTTGTAATTATTTTCAAGTATGGGGTGGTTCTATCATTAAATTGGTTCATACTTTTTTTTTGTTTTTGGACGGGAAGCGACCATGCCAGGCTGGGTCGGGCCACCAGACCCATTACCAACCTTCCCTAACAAAAGTTACAATCCCCACAAAAGTTTCAAAATTACTTCTCCTCACTTTTGGAGAGTA